CAAAAAAGGGACAGATGAAAGGCCACGCTGCAGCTGTAAATGGGTAGATGGCAAAAAAGCATGTTGGGGGAATGAGAAAGAAGAACTTGGACAAGCAGAGCGGTTTCCTCCTAATTTTCTAACTACCAAGTCAAAAACTGATTGTGGTAATAATTATTGATACCAAATGATAATTAATTTTGATTCCGATATTATGTTAATCCAACTTTGACATTAGTGATAGTGAATGATAATTGAAGGAATTTTTGATATTTTCTCGAAACTAAATATATTTGGTGATGGAATGTTACTTTACAGTTATAATTCGATATTGCATCATTTTACCACTAATTATTCTGAATTATCTTGTAATTATTAGCCTCACTCCCTCGCATTTACCGGGTACCACGTTTCAATTTTTTCAATTTCTAATTCTATTTACCGAAAACCCATTTTCAAGAATAAGAAAACTTGAGAGTTCTTGAAAAAAGCATACATATGTTTTTTTGAATGGTTCAGTCGACAGTATCTGCTTGTTTACATTAATGCTCTGCTACAAAGCAATGTAAACAATGTTAATAGATCTAATGCAAAAAGTGGATGAGAACTGAATTCCGGCTAACTGATAAAAAGTGAAAGTTTGTAGAAATATACATGAGTAAATCAGCAAAGAACGAATTTTCTTGCCTTGTCTCCTGCTTATAGTTATCGTTCCACCTTTCACCCACTCTTTTTATTCCCATGGTCACTTTCACTGGGTCACTTCACTGTCAGCCTATTCCTCACCGACTGCCTCCTGTAGTGGTCCAACAGCGGTATTCCCAGGCATTCTACATACATTACTATAGTCCTCTTAGGTACGCTAGCACACAGTGCAAATGTTGGTGCAATTAACTTGAACTATGAACAAGTTACAAATTCCGCCCCTTCGGAAGTTCCCGAACGGGACCACAAGAGTAGGAGATTCACCGAGCCATTATCAGGCAAAAACATCCACTGGATCGTTGCTGGAGAGCAACCCATATTCCTTAACCCCTACGTCTTACACAAGCGAAAATTATCGCACGCACTGTTTTCAATGCCGTCCACTTTCACCCACGATCTTGCCATTTTCCCGGTCCAGCATGGTGGCGTTGTGTGAATGAACGCTGGTCACTAGTCAGCAG